ATATACGGACAAAGTATTTCAGTCAAACAGGCAGAAGGAAGTAAGTCTGAGGAAACGTGCACTAGAGGCCAACCCCGAGACATTTTAATACAAGAACCAGTTTTATGACAGGTTGGCTTATTGCAGAGGTACCACAGGAGCACCAGGACCAGTGGCTTCTCTGTAACAGGGTCTGACAGATACATCTAGCATGTAGCATGAATAAGGCTCTCACATTCTGTGCAACTAAATAGGGCAAAGCCATTTCTCCTACCGGCAGGAGGGAGGGTTGGAGGGCCCAGCGCTCACTGGATATGCACACATAGAAACAAAGCTGCTGGCACAGTTGCAATACATCATTCTTTCATCTAACAGTCAGCGACCGGGCTGCTGGGGAGACTCTATGTTTTCCCTACTACTAGGGTGGCTGGGTTACTGGAGTGAATTTGAATATTTGTTTCAATAAATTATGCATCAATACAGCTTTGTATATATTAAAACTGTCTCATTTCTAAAATTGCACTGAGCATTAATTTCCAGAGATGAATCCTTCTGCTGCACCCGCCCACCTTACGGAGCAGGGCACCATGAAACAGAATCTGAACCGTGCCATAGGAAACGACTTCCAGCACGAGCCACGTGAAGGTCTATTCCAGCACACAGCTACCTCCATCTGCTGGAGCTGCTTACAGGGCTGCTGCAGTGCCTGGACACATAAACCAAGGCAGCAGAATATGTTCCTCATGCTGCCCACAGACCTTCACAGCATATACTTAACTGTAAAAAGAACAAGTGGCTCAATGCACCTTGCTCGCTTCAAGAGCGTACTGAGGATCTGTTGTTAGAACAGACCATGGAGATTCAAAAACTAGCAAATCCAAAGTGTGCTTACAGTGCAAGAGGAAAGCAGCACTGGGAGAGAAACTAGAGCACTTTCTGCATTTTGGCTCCTTATCAAGTCATAGTCCAGAAAAGCCAAAATACGCAGTACAACTTTGAAGAGCCCTCAGTTCCCATTAGATTTATTTGGAATAAACACATTTCTCCATCCAGAGGAGCCAGGTGTCTTCCCTTGACTCGGGGAATACATCTTTCTAATGACCTGGCACATCTTTTTCTACTTTACTCAGTATTAATAGCAATGTAATGAAAATATCACAGTATCTCATGCCTTTTCTGGCAACAGAAGAAATAGCAAGTGGAAGTAAAGTAAGTCTTTTATGAACTATATGCTACTCTTTCCAGAGCCAAATAAATTGACACCATGTAATAAGACAACGGCACGTTTCATGAAGGAGTGCTCAAAACAGCCAACTTTCTTTCCTAATGTTATCTGCTATTTTCTACCACTCTTAAAAAATTTTAATATATACAAAGCTTTTCTTCATTCAAATCACTGTTATGGAACAAACCACTCCTTCCACCTTTATTTTTTCCTTTTTTTTTTTTTTTTTTTAAACTGTACAGACTTTTTCCATTTTCAGGAATATCTAGACTTGGTGAGTGAAGCAACCTGATTGGCTTCCATCCAGCTGGTAGCATCTTGAAAGTGATAAAACTCCACGAAGGCGAAACCACGGCTTACACCTAGAGACAGCATTCAGATATAGACGGGATACTTGTGTTAGTCAGTTCCTTTAAAACAGGTGAATCTCTCTCCAACTGCTTCATTACTTCATGACAAAGCAGCTTTACAAATGCGACGTCAACTGCTGGGATCTGCTTGTTATTTTGCCATGGCAAGGAACCAAGCTCCCTTAACTGGCTACATTTCACTCCACTTGAATCCACGTTTACAGGTAACCATGCAAAAGACTACATACTATTAAACGGGTTTATACTAGTATTACTTACCAATACCTGTTAACTAAAACCCCTGGAGACAGACTTCTTTTTAACAGGACGGGCTATCTACAAGTCTTCCAAAAAGCCACATTCCTTAGCCATGGCAAATTTTTTTTTTTTATTGATTGCACGTGCTTGCAGTTTGGGGATAATTCTGGATACTCTTTTGGACAGGGGAAGAGGAAGGCCATATCAAAAACTGGATAAGAGCTCTCACCTGTCTTTCTCTTCATCAGCCTCACGTCTGCAGGCTGAGGACCTTCAAAGGACTCAATAAGCTCCCGGATCTGCATGAGATTTTATCATTATTAAGTTTTCAAATATTAGCACAACTCTCAGCCAGACAAAGAAGCAATCCAGCCTACTGTATGCACAAGGGGTACACAGAGCAGAAGAGTCTGAATATTATCTCAGAAAAGAAAGAAAGCCCTTGGGGTGAACTGAACAGGAGCCTGACACGCACCACAAAACCCACACAGTGTGGGCACAGTGTCCTCACTTAGCCCACAGAATCATCCAGAATCTGAATCACTATGGCCTTGAATTCCAAGGCCATCTGTACAGAATTTGGCAAACTTTGTGCCTGCTCCAATGTTTTGAAAAAGACCGCTGCTAGCATCCCTAACCCCGCATGCCTGAAGACATCCAACTCCTAGCAGAGAACAGTAACACTACTGGGAGGCTCAGTGATATGCATTTCCTTAACCCCCAAGCCATAGCTGCAATCCTCTAACACAGTTTCTCTTTTGCTTTTCAGAAAATAAGTGAGATTTGTTAAGAATACTGTCAAAGACCATGCTACAGGTCTTCAGACACATCCAAGCTGCTTAAGCTGGGTGTGACAAACTAAACAAATTACTGCAAAGGAGTATAAAGGAAAAACAAACATGTAGAACTATCTCCTAAGAACAAAAGGAGCTTGGCAGCTCTTACAGGGAACTCATGCTACACTACGTACAACAGCAGGCAGGACTCAAAGGTTATTTAAAGCTGCCTGCTCATATGCTGGCTGGAACTGACCTACCACCTTCAGTGCAAATACCTTCTCATGAGAAAAGAGGGAAAAGCTGTTAAAACACGTACAGTTAAAATCAGAAGCACAAGTTGACTTCAGCAGAAAGCAAGCAATCATTCCAAAAATCGTAACCTAAACTCTATTGATGAGTTCAAAATTAAAATTACATTCAGCTTTCCCACAGATTATACTGCAGTTATCTGCAGAACCATAAAGATGCAACGGTAGAAAGTCAGAAAGAAAAATTGCTAAATATGTTTTAGGTAACCTCTGACCTTTACTTTAGGGTAAAGCATCGTTTGGATGCTTTACCCAGAGCTTAAAAAATGATTACATGCGACGATTGAAAAGCACTGCCAGTATTCAGAAGGTACTCAATTAAAACAAAGAGGGAAAAAAGCAGACATCTATCACAGAAGTGGTGCAAAAGGATTCTCTGCGTTAGCAACTGGCACGCAAAGATCTCAGAATCAGAAGGGGAGTGTGCCTGAAAACAAACCGATGCACCTTGGCTTTTACAGCTGTTTCTTATCCCACCTCACACAGCAACTGTAGGCTTGTGGTCCTGGTCACTGAAAGAGCCCAGTGAGAGGGCAAAAAGGTCTTTCCGGCACGGTCAGATGATGGCGCACCACGCTCACTCCTTCCCTCAGCTCCAGAGCAGCCATTTTATGGCTGCCACAGCTGTACCCACACAGCCGCGTCCACAGGGCTGCTCTCAGCCGAGGAGCTCAGCATCTGGGCTACCCCACCAACCCTCACTTCTGGCTTCCACTAATGCCCAGAAAGTAATTAAACCACTTTTGTACTCCTTGTCTCCCTCCCTTAACAATTCCTAGAGAGTAACAACAAATAAATAAGACGCACATCTATATCCTCCTCCACGTGCTAAGCGAGAAGAGCAAAAAACTACGCAGTTTTAAAACCCACAAAAATCCTAGGGGAAGCACACTATTCACGTATGGCTCTATTTAAAACAAACAGCTTAACACTGAGATGACCTCTGTTACTCAACAACGGCAGCCGGAACCCTTTTAGGATTCAAAATGGAAGCGCTCCCAACACGTTTAGAAGGGGGGGGGGGGGGCCACCATGATGCAGCGCTCAACAAAATGGCAGCAGCTCTCTGCGCAGAGCAAAGCCCCCTCCTGCCTACTCACATCGTTCTCGGTAACCGTGATGGGCAGGCCACGCAACATGATGGTCTTGCTTTCCTTCTCATCGTTGATGTCGTTCCTGTAGTCGTGCTCTCCGTAGTCGCCATCGGAGTGGTACCCGTCCTCGGATTTATCGCTGTTCCTGCGCTCTCGCTCCCTCTGGAAGCCAACACACGTCAGCGCCCCGCTGCCACCCCCAGCCCGGACTCCAGCCGCACCCCGCGGGCCCCGCAGCGCTCACCTCGGGGCTGTCGTAGTCGCGGCTGTCGTAATCTCTGTCGTAGTCCCGGCTGTCGTAGTCCCTGCTGTCGCGGCTATCGTAGTCCCGGCAATCCCGGCTGTCGTAGTCCCGGCAATCGTAGTCGCGGCTGTCCCGGCTGTCGTAGTCTCGGCAGTCGCGGCTGTCGTAGTCCCTGCAGTCGCGGCCGTCGCGACTATCGTAATCTCTGCAGTCCCGGCTGTCGCGGCTGTCGTAGTCGCGGCTGTCGTAGTCGCGGCAGTCTCGGCTATCGCGGCTGTCGTAGTCTCGGCTATCGTAGTCGCGGCTGTCGTAGTCGCGATAGTCGTCGTAGCGGTCCCCGCGGCGCTCCTCGCTGGACCGCTTGTAGTCGTCCCTGCGGCGGCTCCGCGACTCCCGCTCGTCGCGGTCCTCCCTCTCCACGATGGAGCCGTAACGGCCGCTGCGCTCCGTCCTGCTCACGCTGCGGGAACGGCGGGCCGAGCTCAGAGCGCGCTCCCTCCGCACCCCCCGGACCCCCCGCCTCCCCCACCGCCACTCACCGCTTGTCCGAGCCCATGGCGCTGCCCACGATCCGCAAGCCTCCGGCACGGCGCTGACCGCCACTACGCGGCGCCGGACACACGCCCGCAGCCCCCGCTCCCTCGCCACAAAATGGCGCCGAGCTGACTGGCCGTCTTCTACCCAGCAGGCACCGCGCGCGCCGCCTGGAAGCTTCCAGCTGTTGCGCATGCGCAGCGGTGGCCGCCCGCCGCGGGGCACGCTGGGAGTCGTAGTTCGGCCCCGCGTGGGGTTATTGAAATAGCAACAAAAACACCCCTGCAGCTGGTGGCAGCACCGCTCCGCTGCTGGGTTTGTGCCCCCGCCGCGGCGCTGTGCTCTTCCCTGCGTGCTAAACCTGCCGTGGCAGATGGGCTGATCCCAGCTCGTGCCCGCAGCTCAGCCCGTCCCCTGCCGAGCCGCTGAGCTGTGCGGTGATGCAGCACGGAACAGCCCGTGAGTGAGCAGTCTGGGAGCAGTGCTGCGAGCAGAGCGTGGGGCTGTGCTACTGCCTGCAGCTCAGCTCTGCCAGGCCCAGAGCTCAGAGCTCAGCACTCAGCCCAGCAGCACCGTCCCCTCCATCTACTCAGCAGAAGGGACAGCACTGCAGCTGTCAGGCTGCCGCTTGTTGCTGCTGTCCCCGAACAGCCTCCAAACCCTCACTGAGGGCCTCTGTGATTCTCTGAGCATGCACAGCGATGCTGTTTTGCTGCCTATCCCTTGGGGGAGTTAGACTGCAGACTGACAGAGAGCAGCTGGAAAGTGTTCCTGCGGTCACTGCTCGCCTCCAGAGGTACTAGGAGAAAAACAGACCTGCAAAATGCAGCTTTAGCACCAGGCGCGGATTTTAGCTCTTTGAAGGCTGTTTTCTAAATGGCAGCGAGGGAACTGCTGCCTGGGGGTGTGCCTGCTTGCAATTTCTGCTTGTCCCCAGCTGCTGCTTGCTTTTGCTCGGAGAGCAACTTTGGTTATGGTTGCCAGCTGTATCGCTCCCCTCTCCTCATTCCTCTTGCTGCCCCCAGCACCCACTGCTCTGAACACTGGAGCCTGCCCTGCTCGGCTCCCCCCACAACAGGTCCCCATGCTCCCCTCCTCCCGCCTGGTTCCTGGCTGTAGGCGTAGGACAGCCAAGGCACAGCCCAGCCGGACCTTCCCGGAAGGGCAACCCGGCATCTCTCTCTCCCACAGCCTGCTGCTTGAAGGCTGAAGCCCCACGGGGGCAGCTGGCCCATGGCCCCCAAACGCCGAGCACCCCCTGCATCCCAGCCCGCTAATGGGGGCAAGAAAGCCAAGGGGGGGCAGGAGGAGGAGGAGGATGCCTGGAGCTCTGCGCTCACTGCCTTGAAGGCAGCCCCCAAGGAGAAGCCCCCCGCCACCATTGATGGGCAGTGTCCCCTGAGTGCAGGGCCTGATGCACAGGTGAGTGTGGGGAGGGGCATGTGGGGCATGGTGGGGGTGGAAGAGGGATGGAGAGGACTCGTGCACACCCCCATGTCCCCAAATGGGTGAAGCATCCCTCTGCCCCTACTGCCACCCTGACCCGCTGCCTGCTGTAGGTCTATGAGGACTATGACTGCACCCTGAACCAGACCAACATCAGAGCCAACAACAACAAGTTCTACATCATCCAGCTCATCATGCACGATGGCACCTACAGCACCTGGAACCGCTGGGGACGTGTGGTGAGCTAACCTGTGGCCATCCCTATGCTGGGGACCCCAAGGGGGTGCTCCCTGCCAGCTCCCCCATCCCAAATTCCCAGTCCCAAAGTGAGCAGCTCTGCCACAACCCTTGCCTGGCGAGCACCAAGGATGTGTCCTCATGCTGAGGAGACACCGCAGCAAGGACACCCATGGCATCAGGAGCCCATGGCTCCCATGCAGTGCCTCTGATGCTGGGTCTGCTTCAGGGAGAAGTGGGCCAGTCCAAGCTCCTGCACTTCACCTCTCTGGAAGCTGCCAAGAAGGATTTTGAGAAAAAGTTTTGGGAAAAGACCAAGAACAGCTGGGCAGCACGGGAGAACTTCGTGGCCCAGCCAGGAAAGTACACCTTGATCGAGGTGCGGCCCGGCGCCGAGCAGGAGGTGGCCCTCAGGGTGAGTGGCATTGCCTCAGTGCTGAGTGGGACTGGGACATCCAGCAGGGTCAGCAAGGTGGGCTGTGGGGTGGACAAGGGGGCAAACTTGGCGCTCCCTCCTGAGCACCACGTACATCATAGTGGCATCGGGCATGACCCAAGGACAGCACAAGGCTGGGGTTTGCTCCCACAGGCGGATGGTGTGGGTGATGAGGTCTCCAAGCGCCGCACGCTGCCTTGTGCCTTGGATGAGACCACGCAGAAGCTGGTGGCCCTCATCTTCAGCAGCGACATGTTCCGCCACGCCATGCAGACCATGAATATCGGTAGGAGGTGCCAGGGGGCCTGATGAGTGCGGAGGTGCTGGTGGGTTTCTGAGCATCCCCTTTGGCTGTGGTGATGCTGGGGCTGCTCAGCACAGTGGGGCTGGCATGAGACGTGGGCTGACAGCGTGAGCTCTATCCCTGCCAGATGTGAAGAAGATGCCACTGGGGAAGCTGAGCAAGCAGCAGATTGCTCGGGGCTTTGAGGCACTGGAGGAGCTGGAGGCAGCACTGGGGGAGCAACCCTGCAGGATGTCCCGGCTGGAGGAGCTCTCTTCACGCTTCTACACCATTGTGCCCCACAACTTTGGGCGGGCACGGCCACCCCCCATTGATTCCCCCGAGCTGCTGCGTGCCAAGAAAGACATGCTGCTGGTGAGATGTGGCAGTGGCATCCGTCCTTGTGGGGTGGAGAGGTGGTGGTAGCCTTGTCCTGGCCCACAATGACTGTGTCCCTGCTCTGTCCCTTCTAGGTGCTGGCTGACATCGAGGTGGCACAGAGCCTGCAGGCACAGAAGGTGGAGGAGGAGGAGGAGGTGGTCGCTCACCCCCTGGACCAGGACTATGCCCTGCTGTGCTGCCAGCTCACCCTGTTGGAGAACACTTCCCAAGAGTATGAGGTGTGACGGTCACCAGTGCCATGTAGGCACTCTGAGGACAGTTATGGGCAGCCAACAGTGACACCGTGTCCTTCCTTGCAGATGATCCTGAACTACGTGGCACAGACAGGGGGCCAGGTGTACATCCTCAACATCTGGAAGGTGGCCCGAGAGGGTGAGGTGAGAAGAAGGAGCCTGAGGAGACCCCAGCTGTGCCCTTAGGACTGGGCTTTGTCTGCAAATCCAGCAGAGTGGGGTCCCCAGGCTGGCTGGGCAGGGGGGCTGGGCCAACCCTGCGTGCCCCTCCCTGGCCAGCCCTCAGCTCTGTGTCCCTCCAGGACAAGCTCTTCCAGGCCCATGACCACCTGGAGCACCGGCGCCTGCTGTGGCACGGCACCAATGTGGCAGTGGTCGCGGCCATCCTGAGGAATGGGCTGCGCATCATGCCCCACTCTGGGGGACGCGTGGGCAAGGGCATCTACTTTGCCTCTGAGAATAGCAAGTCTGCCTGCTACGGTGAGCAGCAGGCTGTTTGGGGTGTCTGTGGGGTCGGTGCAAGCCTAGCTCTTTGTGGCACCTCTGCCAAGCCCCTTCCATGCTGGGGACCCAGGCACAAATGAGTGGGAGCTCTGGTGCCATCACTCCTTCCCCTTCGTTTCCCTTCCCGGTGTCAGTGGGCTGCACATCCAAGCGGATTGGCTTGATGTTCCTGACGGAGGTGGCTCTGGGCAAACAGTACTGCATCACCCGCGATGAGCCCACGCTGCAGCAGCCACCTGATGGCTATGACAGCGTCCTGGCCTGTGGCCGCACGGAGCCGGGTGAGTGCAGAGGGGTAGAACTGGGGGCCTTGGGATGGCCCTCAGGGCTGGCACTAGTGGAGTCTTCTTGTCCAGACCCTGCACAGGATGTGGAGGTGATGCTGGATGGGAAGAAGGTGCTGGTGTGCCAAGGCAAGCCAATCCCCATGCCCACCTACAAAGACTCATCCTTCTTCCAAAGCGAGTACCTCATCTACCAGGAGAGCCAGTGCAGGATCCGCTATCTCGTCCAGCTCCACTTCTGAGAGCACTGGGCTCCTTGTGTACCCTCTTGGCAGCAGAGTGCCACCAGCCTGGAGTGCAGGAATCCAGCCCTTGTGGCCACTCACTTGGGTGTGAGATGGGGGCATCCAGCCTGCTCCCATGAGCAATAAATCCACTGTGCCTTGCACCAGCAGTGTGGCTGCTTTCCTGCCAGCACGGAGGGGCTGAGCAGGGAGTCCTGGTCGGTGCTGTGGCCAGGGTTTATCCCTGTTGTGGGTGGCTCTGGGTGGGCTGCAGCCCACTGTGGCCACTGTTGCTCTCGTTACCATAGCCAGACTCATGCCACCACTGCAGCATCAGGGCTATGAAGGGATGAGCATGGATGAGCCTGTCCCCGTGTCCCCCGTGCCTGCCCTCCCTTGGTACCATGCCAAGCCCTACTCTGTCCCCTGCGTCCCCCCAGGCACAAGTTAGTGTCTGTGCAATGACACTTGGCTGTGCCACCCTGATGCTCAAGTGGGGACTGCCTTGAGGACACCCTCCACTCCCCATTCTTGCAGCACCAGCCCCCTACACTTTGTAGTATGTTTCAGTGTGGGAAGGGCCCTTTTGGCTGCAGACCCCCAGTCTTCCCTGCCCTGTCGCCCGCCGGCTGCTAGGACCCAGCAGCTGTCCCCAGCGCTGTCAGTGGGCGGGCAGAGCCCGGGGGTGACAGCCGGTGCCATCGGCGACAGGCAAACAGGATGACTAATGGGTGACAGCCAGGGAGGGGTGGATGTGGCCGCCGGGAACCCCACTCCTGCAGCATGAGCAGTGCTGGTAACAAGGACCGGTCCCAGAGAAGGAAGCATTGCCTGTACCCAAGGAGCCAAGGTATGTGGGTGCCACCCCACTGCTTAGTGACACCCGGCAGTGAGGAGAGGGACCCAGAGCAGGGGCTGCAGCGATGGTGTGGGTGGGGTTGGCTTTGTCCCTTTGCGGGACAGGGGATGGGGTGTCGGGCTGCCTGGGGTGCCAGCAGGTCCCCCTGTGTCATCCCTGCCCCGCCATCTCTCTGCAATTTTTTGGAGAACACCTCTGTGTTTCTCTGTGGCTCTGGTTTTGCTCCTTCACCTTCTCCTTCCCCAGCAGGCAAGGAGCCATGAGAAGACAGCGGCCATGCCCACGGTGGGCTCTCCCTCCATGGGATGCAGGAAGTCTGTCTGTGTGATATCGGCAGCAGAGCTGCTGGCTTAGTCCCTGTGGGTATGGCTAGCCGGATGGGGCCAAATGCCACGACCAGCCTGGAGTACCCCACCATTCCAGAGCAATCCACAGCACAGGAGGTGCTGGGCCTCCTCTGCATGGTCCTGCTCACTATCACTGCTCTAGTGGCCAATGTGGTGGTGATGGTGGTCATCCTGAAGACCCCCCTCGTCCGCAAGTTCATCTTCGTCTGCCACCTCTGCGTGGTTGACCTCCTCTCTGCCATCTTCCTTATGCCTCTGGGGATCATCTCCAGCTCCTCCTGCTTCGACAGGGTCATCTACAGCATCGCTGAGTGCCAGGCCTTGATATTCCTTAACGTCTGTTTCATCAGCGCCTCCATCCTCACCGTCTCCGTCATCAGCGTTGAGCGGTACTACTACATTGTCCACCCCCTGCGCTACGAGGTCAAGATGACCATCAGGCTGGCTGTGGCCGGGGTCATCCTCATTTGGATCAAGTCTGTCCTCATCACCATCCTGGCACTGGTGGGCTGGCCTCAAGACAACGGGGCCACCAGCGCCAGCCGCTGTACGGTCTACTGGAGCCCTGGGGCCCACAAGAAGGCTTTTGTCATCATCTTTAGCATCGCCTGCTTCATCCTGCCCACCATTATCATCTTCGCCGTCTACTGCAGTGTCTACCGGGTGGCCCGGCTGGCAGCCCTACAGCACACACCTGCCCCAGCAGCTGCCCCACGGCCCCGCTGCGACTCCATTGCCAGCCAACTGACCATCGTCACCATGCGGAACCTGCCACTGCCCCGGCTGGCACCCGAACGCTTTTTGGGAGGGAACAAGGCCATCCTCACCTTGCTCCTCATCGTGGGACAGTTCCTGTGCTGCTGGCTGCCCTTCTTTGCCTTCCACCTGCACTCCTCCGTGGGTGCCGCTGCGGAGGGCGGTGGGCACAGCGAGATGGTGGTCACCTGGATTGCCTACTCCTCCTTCGCCATCAACCCCTTCTTCTATGGGCTGCTGAACCGACAGATCCGCCAGGAGCTGGCCCGGCTCTGGCGCAGTCTCCTCCACCGTCCGCTGGGCCAGGAGCTGTGCTTGGCCATTTCTGAGGCCTCTGTCCAGGAAAACGTCCTGCAGTTCCTCCAGAGGGCTACCTGCACGCTGGAAACCCACGCTGGGTGCATCAGCCCCAGGAACAGGCTGGAGCAGGGCAAGGGTGGCTGCCCCATCCCAGGCCAGGTTCCCGAAGAGAGTGTCCAAGAGCAGAGCTCTGTGCCACTATAGCTCTGGGACCCATCCTCTTTGCACCTGGTCCATGTTTTGCCTGCTGTCCCAGTCTGCATGCTGGAGGAAGGGCTCTTGGCTGCATTTCGGGTGCTGTCATTTCCATTCTGCATGCTGGGAACATCCCTGGCTCCTGCAGCACATGGGACATGGGAAGCTGAGGGGCTACAGTTTGGGGGACCATCCCCCTGTGGGACTCTTGCCAGGGTCACCCTGCACCATCCCCAGCCCAGATAACACCACTAACACCATAACACCAGTGCCCATGGTGCCCCGTATCTCCCCTCCTGAAAGTCAGGATGCTGCTGCAGGGGATGCTGTGCCCCCAGTCTCCAAAAATAGGAAACCCCACTCCAGCAATAGGGGCTGGGGAAAGGTGCCCGGGGCAGGGAGGGGGCTCAGGGAAGATCACTGGCCACAGGGCCACCCCTCTGCTGTCACCTCATGCACCCCCCTGAGCTGGGGGAGTCTCCACTTGGGGTTGGAAAATGTATCTTTTTCACATAAATTTGATCTTTTTATTAAACCATTGATAAGTTACAAAGGAGGAAAAATATAGACTTATATATACAGCATTTCCAAGCCAGCAGGCTCTTGGGAGTGTTGCTGGGAGGGGAGGTGACTGCCCAGGGGAAAGTCCCCCTGACACAGCCAGGGGATGGGGGAACACCACAGAGGCCAGGCAGCCCCTCAGCAGCTCTGGGGTTCAGCCCAGAGGGTTGGGGATGGCAGAAGGACAGCAGTGTGGGCAAGGGTAGGGACAAGAGACACCAGGGAGTGGGAGGATGCCCCCCCCTCCAGCAGGGACAGCCCTCCTACCCATACCATAGCAAGTTTGGGGGGGAGAGGGGACACAGTGCTGCCAGGATGGGCATTGAAGCAACTCTTTGCTCCAGAAGCCATCACCTCTGGGCCCCCCTCCCCTGGGCATGGGATGCTGGGGGGACGACTGGGGGAGGGATGAAGGACAAGGGGTGTCCTCGGTACCAGGTGGTACCAGGACCTCCCTTGTTCACCCACAGAGGGGCTCAGTAGGGGGAGAACTTCTGCCGGTCAGCTTTCTTGGTGCCGTTGGCCGCCGAGATCTTGGTCGTGTAGGTGGCAGTGCCACCATTGGCACCTGCCGCGGAGGATGGGGACAACGCCAGGAAGGAGAGTGGCTTCAGGCCGATGAAGTTGGAGAGAGACAGGGCGTAGGGGGTGCCCAGCAGAGCCGGGGGGGTGGCAGGGACAGCAGGCAGCGCTGCGCTGGAGCCCGGAGCGAGCGGCTGCGAGAAGCCCACACCGAGATCCACGGAGCCAGGGCCGAGTGGCACCTGGGAGGTAGATTTGGCCGTCTCTAAGCTGGGGAGGGTCAAGTGGCATGGTGAGGGGCACGGTGACAAAGGGGCCACCTGCCCGCTGTAGGGCACATGGACCTTCGCCCCGTGCCTTCTGTCACCGGTGCCAGCATCCAGCCCCAGCTCTTTGGGGCGCTTACCAGGTGGTGATGAGGTACTGAGCCAGCGTGATGCTGACGGGGGACCCTGTGATGGTGATGTGCCGCTCACTGGAGCCCTCGGTCTGGTTCCCAATCTTGATGTGGGCGCCTGACATCTGCCGGATCTCACTGATCTTGCTGCCGTGCCGGCCGATGATGCAGCCGATCAGCTGGGGGGGGAGCACCAAGGTGAGCGGGGAGGATAAATATGGGGAAATGGGGACTTGGTGAGGACCCACACTTACATCATTGGGCACCAGGAACTCCTGAGAGCTGCTTTGGGAGTTTGAGTCCAGCCCTGGAGGGAGAAATGGTGGAGTTAGGGGGGTCTCCAGCAGCCCCTCCAAACACGGGAGGATGTTGCTGTGAAGACAAACCCAAAGGACCAATAAGAAAAGGCCACAGGGAAGATGGGATGTGGGCATTGGAACTCCTGTTATTGGGGTGGAGAGTCTGGGACATCAGGAGACCAAAGACAGGGACTTTCTGGTGTGTGATGGCATGCCAAAGAGATGGGGCTGGAGACAGGAGGAGAGGACATGGCCTCCCATGCTCTTGCAAGGGCCCAGCAAGGAGCAAGAAGGGCACAACTCATTGTCTCCAGCCCCATGGGGAGCTCACCTGGAACCATGGAGGGTGGGTGGCCCAGTGGTGGGAAGGGGACGGTGTGCCCCGACATTTGCTGCAGTTTTGTGACCTGTCCAGGGAGAGAGAGGAGATGAGACAATAGGAAGGCAGGTTTGATGGCATGGTTTCAAGCCCCTGGCTGGACTCTGGCATCCACACAGTGCACATCCCACCCCACCTCAACCCATTCCACTCCAACCCATCTCATCACACCCTATCCCATTCCACCCCACCCTATCTCATTATACAGCGTCCCATCCCATTCCACTCCATCCCATCTCACCCCCTCCCACTGTACCCCATCCTATCCCATCCCATCCCATCCCATCCCATCCCATCCCATCCCATCCCATCCCATCCCATCCCATCCCATCCCATTCCACCTCATTTTAACCCTTTCCATCCTACCCCACTCCATTCCATTCCATAGTACCCCATCCCACCCCATTTCATTCTATCCCATCCTACCCTCTTCCCATCATACCCCATCACATCCCATCTCACCCCCTCCCATCATATCCCATCTCATTCCATTCTGTCCCACCTCCTTCCATAGTACCCCATCTTATCCCATTCTACCTCATCCCACCCCACCCCACTCCACCACACTCCATTCCACCCCACCCCATGTCATCCCATGTCAACCCATCCCCCACCCCACCCCATCTGACACCTTCCCATCATACCACCCCATCCCACACCTTCCCATCATACCACATCCCATCCCACTCCACCCCACCCCAGCTACAGGCTGCCAGACTCTGTACCCATGGAGACACCCCCAGGACTGGCCCCATGAACCAAGGAGCAGGGCTGGGAGAAACTCACTTCTGCCGGAGAGACCCCGCTGTATTGCCCCTGCATGGAGAAACCCTGAGGGGGACAATGGGTATCAGCTGGGAACCACGCAGGGACCTGTGCCCATGCAGTCAGGGTGTCCCCCTGCCCCAGTGCCCCTTACCTGGTTGGCAGAGAGCAGAATGGTGCCCAGGGAGAGCCCAGGGTGGTAGGGGATGGTGGCCCCCTTAGGAGGTGACTGAACAGGGAGGAAAGGAGGTGGAGGGGATGAGCAATGGGGTCAAGGTTCCTCCAGCCCACACCACACCCCACAGCACCGTGAGATGGCTGACGGTACCTCCAGGATGACGGCACAGATCTGCCTCACACACTGGATGATGGTGTCCGGCACCCCTGAGACAGTGACGGCACGCTCCGTGGAGTTGGGCAGCAGGTCGCCAGCCACCTGCACCTGAGCCCCTGAGCTCTGGGGAGAAAAAAGGGGGACTGTGGGACTTGGGTGGGACCGGCGGGGGAACACTGTGCTCCTGCATCGCGCCAGGGGATCTCACCTCCCGGATCTCCCTGATCTTGGTGCCCGCCTTGCCGATGAGCGAGCCGCACTGGCTGGCCGGGATGACAAGACGCAGCGTCACTGGTGTCCTCCCTGCTGCCGTCCCGTCCCCCAGGTCCTGCGGAAGGACACACACACACACAATGTCTGGCTTCCCCTGGGAGAGTTGGGCTCCCAGAGCCCCGTTATATGGCAGGCCCACCTCCTCCAGCTTGAAGGCTATCATGGAGACGGCACGGAAGACGGCATCGGTGGAGCCGGTGATGGTGGTGATGCGCTCGGGGCAGGAGCCCTCCGAGATGGTGATGCGCGCGCTGCTCTGGGGACGGTGGTGCATCCCATCAGGGGCACAGAGCTCAGCACTGCTTCAGCTCTGTGTCACCCCCTCCCTGCGGTCCCCTATCCCACCCAGAGCCATGAGCCACCTGCAGGCACCAGGACCCGTAACCACCCCATGCGCCCTTACCTGCTCCCGTATCCTCTTTACTGTCTCTCCTTTCTGTGGGAAGAGGAACAGGGCTGGCTGTCAGGGCCAGGAGCCCCCCGGGCTGGCACAGCCCAAATCCCCCGGCTCTTACCTTACCGATGATGCTGCCGATCTCCTGTGGGAGCAGAGGGCAGCTCTGTTAGCAGGCGATCTCAGTATCACCAACCACGTGTCCCCAGGGGTGAGGACAGCCCAGACTTAGGGTGAGGGGCACGAAATCCTCCCCGGAACCACTCCCCCATCCCCAAGGGCAGGTTACCTTGCCGTGCATCAGCATGCGGAGGGTCAGGGTGATGCTGAGCTGCGGCTCTCTGGGGCCGCTCGCTCTGTCCGGCGATGCCATGGCCTGGGGGACATGGGGGATTCCTGCGGGGTACGGCCAGGTGTCCCGACCCCTGGGCTGGGGGTGGCCGGACCCCCGGCTGGGGGCTGCCTAGGGGAAGGGGGGAGGCACCCAGCAGCACCTCACGCCCGAAGGCGGCCGGGGAGGGGACAGCAGGGGACAATCGCCGCGTGTCCGGGAGCGGGTGGGCGGGATGCCGGCGGCGATGCCAAGCGGCTTTGGAACAAAGCACCCGCGGTGGGGATGGGGCCCGATCTGCGGACGCTGTCGGGGGGAGGGGGCACGGCTATTCTGGGTGCTGGCAAGGCTCGCCGCCGAGGTGGCCATCAGGGGAGCGGGGTGGGGCGGCGGCAGCGCCAGCGGCCCCCGAGCCCCCACGGGTGACCCGACGGGGACAAAAGCGGGGGCACGAGAGCCGGTGGCGAGGGGGGTGCGGAGTGGGGGGAGGGGGAAGCACGGTGTCGTCTGCCGCCGGGGGGGCGTGGGGACAAGGGCCGGGTGCCGGGTGGCAGCGGGACGTGGTGAGGGGACAGCGCGGCCACCCCCCATCGCCCAAAAGGAAAGTTTCTCCGCTCCCCCCGCCCCGCTCGCAGCCCGGTACCTCTCCGCACCGCCGCCGCTCAGTGCCGCATGCCGCCGGGGCCGCCCCGTGCCACCCGGGCCGCGAACAATGAGCCGCTTGACGGGCTCGGGGCAGGCTGGCAGCCCCGGCCCCCACCCCGGCCCGCTGGGGCCCCCCTCGCTCTTCCCCTCTCCCACAGCCCTCCCTCCGGGATCCTATTACAGCGGATAAGAGACACTAAAAGGAACAATGCACCCTGGGTAAGGCCATCTGCCACCGCTGGGGACATTCCTGTCCCCCCCCCACACTTGGCTCACACATCGCCCCTCTTTGTAATTGCTTTTTTTTTTGTTGTTGTTCCTGGAAGCCGATCAGCTGGCAGGGCTCAAGGGCTCAAGGGCACCGGGCGGGCAATGCCGGGACGGCGGCACCCAGGGGTGCTGTTGGGGGTGGGCACCCTTAGGGCTGCGGTGCCGGAGCAGCAGATGGATGCTGCGAAGTGCTGAACACCCCCGTGCCAGCAGGCCCCTACCCCCCTCCCTGCCCCCCATCACACACCGACACGTTGCCAGTGTCACCCCCCCGCAGCCCGCGTGCCTCCCCCGCTAAATCCTCATAGGCCCTGGCGTAAGCAGATAAAGCCCAGGCAGGCTTGGAGGGGGAGCACGGGGGGGGGGGGTGGCACCCCGCTGCCGGCTCCATCTGCATCCCCAGGGCCGGCTCAACAGCACCAAGTGGGGAAAGGCAGGTGGCGGGCATGGAGCGGCACTCTGTCTGTCCAGCCAGGCGTCTGTCTGGCCTCCCCTGCCTTTCCCCCCCATCTGTTGGTGACCATAAATCCACCGGGTGCTTGGGACATGCTGGCTGCCACCGCAGGCAGGGGACGGCTGGGGACAACAGTCACCTTTTAAGCCCCTGTGGATTAACCTAGGAGTGGGTGTGCAGCCGGAGGGGCGGGAAGAGGAAGAAGAGGATGAGGATCAGGCCGGGAGGAGGGCTGCCGTCAACCAATGCGTGTGAGACAGTGAGGAGGGAACAAAGCAGGAGATAAGATGATGGGGATGAGGCCAGGAGGAGGGTGCCCGTCCCCTGCTGCACGTGCCACGGTGAGGAGGGAACAAAGCAGCAGGGCGGCAGCACATCTCAGGGTTTTATTTGGTCCCGACGAAGCAGTGGAGCCAAGGAGGGCCATCCACATCCCACTCACTCCAACTGCTGCAGGAAGGCCAGCAGCCCACGGTGCCACTCCTCGGGCTTGTCCAGGTAGCAGGCGTGCCCGGCGCCCTGCAGCACCAGCACCTGGTGGCGGGCCAAGTGTCGCAAATTGCTGAGGCTGACCTGGCCCAGCTCGACATCCTGGTCCCCATAGACGATCAGGGTGGGTGTCTGCGGAGAGGAACACAGGCTGCGGCCACGCATTGCACCTCCAGCAGGAGCACCTCTCCTTCCCATTCCCCGTCTCCCAGAGGAGAATGGGGGTCAGGAAGGCAAGACGCTCCACGCCCAACCCCATTACCTGGACGCTGGCGTACCGCTCCGCCTCAAACTTCTCCGTGCAGATGGGCGCCACGGGCACGTAGGCCTTCAGCAGGTGCCCGTGCTGGAAGAGGAAGGGCAGCGAGTACATGCCGCTGAGCGACGGGCTGACCAGCACGGCCGGGGCCAGGCCCAGCGCCTCCACCACCGCCTTCAGGAAGGCTCCCGGTGCCGGCTGCCCCACCGGAGCGGGGGCCGCGGCGTCCTTGGAGCGGCCCAGCCCTGGGAGCGAGGGGCTGTGCGTCACACGGCTGCCACCGCGCCGTCGCCACGTGCCCTCGGCCGTGCCTTACCCGGCAGGTCGATGGCCACGGCCCGGTGGCCGGCGTCAGCCAGCACGGCCAGCGTGCGCAGCTGCAGCCAGGTGTCCGAGGAGAAGCGGATGCCGTGCAGCAGCAGCACGTTCAGCCGCGGGGCCTGCTGCGGGCGGGCCTCCCGGTAGAAGAGGCTCTGCCCCTCCACCGTCACGGTGCCCTCGGTGAGCTGCGCGCCGGCCATGGCTCGGTACCGCTCCCAGCCCGGCCCAGGCCTCGGGGCGCCGCCCGGGTCCGAAGGCCGCGGGGGCGGAGGGAGCGGCGGCGCCGCCTGGCGGGCACGGCCGAGAGCGGGCGGGTGGAACCGAGGCTTGCCGAGCCCTGCCCGAGCTGAGCCGAGTTCTGCCGAGCCTAGCCCGAGCCGAACCGAGTTCTGCCGAGTCGTGCCGAGCTCAGCCCGAGCCGTGCCGAGCCGTGCCCGAGCCGAACCGAGCCGAGCCGAGCCGAACCCTGCCCGAGCCGTGCTGAGCCCTGCCCGAGCCGAACCTGCCCGAGCCATGCCGAGCTCTTCCGAGCACTTTCCGAGTTCTGCCGAGCCCTGCCAAGCCCTGCCGAGGTTCACCCGAGTCCAGCCGAGCCGAGCGCATCCCAGTACTACCCGAGCCCTGCCGGATGCTACCTGAGCCCCCCGAGCCCCCACCCGGGCCCCCACCCGGGCCCTGTCCGAGCCCTGTGAGCTTTTGTAGTATGCAGGGGGACGAGGGGCTCGGCTTGAGCGTCCCCTCAACACCGTGGCGTTGATTTCGGGGACGGGGATGCTTTCTGCCGGAGTGGATCGTGAGGACCGTGTGACGAACGCCTGTTTTCATGGCGATTAAACGCAAGCCGAGCCGAGCGCTGCCGAGCGCAGCCGAACCCTGCCGAGCGCTGCCGAGCTCAGCCGAGCCCGCCCGAGCCACGCCGAGCCGAGCGCGGCCGAACGGGGTCGGGCCCCGGGTTCGCGCGGGCGCTCCGCGGGGCGGCAGCCCGACCCTCGCGCGCCCCGCCGGCCGCCATGCCCCGCGGCCGCCCGGCGCTGCTGGCCCTGGGCGCCGTGCTGGTCTGCGTCCTGCTCCTGCTGCTGCCCGCCGCCCGCCGCCATGCCCCGGCCCGACGCCCGGCCAACGCCACGGTGCGGGCGGGAGTGGCGCCGGGCGACCCCGCCGTCGCCTACAGGGAGGCCGCCGTGCCGCGGCTCCCGGCGTCCAGCAGGTGGGTCCGCCGCGGCTCCCCGCGTCCCGCCGGGCTGCCGCTGTCCCGCAGCGTGCCGAGCCCTCGTGTTCCCCCGCAGGCCCGACGTGCTGCTGCTGCACGGCCAGGCTTTCACCTCCGGCACGTGGCAGGCCCTGGGCACGCTGGCGCTGCTCGCCGCCGAAGGACACCGCGCCGTCGCCATCGATCTGCCCGGTAGGACCGAGAGTGCTGCGGGCGGTGCGGGCTGCCGGCCCTCCAGGCTGGCACCCAAAGGGCTCACGGTGCCCTCCTGCTGCGCCCCAGCCCTGCATCCTCTGTTTCCCCCCCCCCAGGCTATGGGGATTCGCCCCCCGCGGGGTCGGTGCTCACGCAGCGGGGTCGGGCGGCCCTCCTGCAGCGTGTTGTGCAGCAGCTGCACCTGCAGAGACCGGTCCTCGTCAGCCCGTCCATGAGCGGCCGCTTTGCTCTGCCCTTCCTCCTGGCACACGGCGAGCAGCTGGCCGGCTTCGTGCCCATCGCACCTGTGGGCACGCGGGAATACAGCGCCATGCAGTACCGACAGGTCCAGGTGGGGCCGGCGGGGTGCCAGGAGCTGTGCTCCCAGCTCTCCTGCAGCTTTACAGAGGTGCTGATTGGGCTGGGATTGACATCCCACCTCCCCGATATCCTTTCTCTCCTTTTTTTTTTTCAGACGCCCACTCTGATCCTGTACGGTGACCGTGACACTGGCCTGGGTCAGCAGGCCCTGCAGAGCCTCCGGCATCTCCCCAAGCACCGCGTGGTTGTGCTGCCCGGCACTGGCCACGCCTGCTACATGGACAAGCCAGAGGACTTCCACCGGGCCCTGCTGGGCTTCCTGGGCCAGCTGCAATGATCTGGGTGCTGCTGCACTGAGCAGAGGGCAGCGGGGCCGTGGCTTTGTCCCTGTGCCTCGCTGGGTGGTGGGGAGGCGGTGTGAAGCTGGGGGTGATTCACCAGCACTGCCCTCCTGCAGCATCACCTCTCCCTCCTGTGGTTGGGACCGGAGGTTCCATGCTCAGAACCGTGGAATATCCCAAGTTGGAAGAGGTGCACAGGGATCACCAGTCCAAGTGCTGGCTCCGCACAGAACCACACAAACACTGAGAGTGATGTACAAACGCTCTCTGAGCTCCAGCAGTTTGGAGTTGTGCCCACTGCCTTGAGGGGACGGGGCTGTTCTGTGCCCACCCACCGCCCCCTGGTCTCTTCTCTGAATTTCAGGATGATGTTCTGTCAGGGCAACCCCCGGTGCCAGAGCTCTGGGCACGGTGCTGCGATGCTGGCGGGGCAGGGTGGGGGGGGGCCGCGAGCTGGAAGGAAGGAGCTGCGAGCCGCCTGTCCCGAGGCCAATAAACACGTCGTGCTCCGGTCTCTGCCGTGTCCCCAAGCGCCTCGGGGCGGAGCGGGATGGAGCGGGGCGGAGCGGGGCCGGGGGGGCGGAGCGGGAGCGGGCCGGCAGCGACGGCGGCGCGGAGGTAGGGCCGGGGGTAGCGGGGGTTCGGGGCCGGGAACGGGCGGCGTCGGGCGGGGGGCAGCCCCGAACCTACCGTCCCCTGCCCGCATCCCGATTATGGGGTCGCGCACCCTCGGTCCCCCGGTTCCCCGCACCCCAACCGTGGGACCGTGCGCTCCCCTGCGCTCCTCGTGCCCTCCGCCCCACAAACCCGCGGTGTTTCCCTCCTTCCTGCACCCCGCTGAGCTCCGCGTGTGCGCGCACCCCCCGCCACCCTCCTGCAGCCCCCGCCGCACCCCACGGCACCTCCACCCCCACCTCAGCCCCGTTCCTTCCCAAGGGCCGAACTTTGCCCCGTCCTGCTTCGGAGGAGAGGGGGACGGAGGGGGGGTTTAACTGTCTCTTCCCCCGCGGCTCTGCAGTCCGGGAATGGCACCCGGCAAGCAAGGGAAGAGTGCGGGGGCCTCGGAGAACCCTTCGGTGACACTTTTCCGGGAGTACCTGAGGATCGACACCGTGCACCCCAAGCCTGACTACGGTGAGGAGAGCAGGAATGCGGCGGGGGGGCACCCTGGGCTCGAGGCTGGCAGCACGGCTCCTTCCCCTGCGCCGCTCTTTGGATCGTTCTTTGGACCCACGTGCCTGATGCTCGAGGCCAGGGCTGTTGCAGTCGCGGTGCAAGGAACACTGCAGTGCCCACCGTGCTTTGAGCAAGGCCACCCTTGCTTTGTATGAATTCATCCCCTCATCCATCTTTTCTCACCCCCAGATGCAGCCATTCAGTTTTTGGAGCGTGTGGGCACCGACTTGGGCTTGACGTGCCAGAAAGTGGAGGTGAGCAGGGCAGCCCCAGGGCTGGTCCCATCCCATCACAGCACGGCTGGGGGTCAGGTCCTCTCCCCACCACCCCACGGGTGGCAGGAGGTGCCTGCTGCTGCCCTAATGCTCTGCTGACCCAGGTGCTGCCGTAAGCTCCCCCCACACAGCCTGCACTGTGCCTGTCCCTCTGACCTTTGTGGCTGGCTGTGCTATGATTAGCCAGGGACCAGGCAGGGTGACGCTGGCTGCAGATGTCCCCTGTGTCTGGCCAGGAAGGGACAGTGGCTGGCACAGGGGACACCCAAGGCTTAGGGTCTCCGTTTTACTTCCTCTGAATTGCTTGTGGCTGCCCAGTGGGGGGGCAATGAGCCTGTCCCAACCCCTGCGTCCCCCTGTCCCACCCCAGTGACATGCAGCCTTTGCTCACAGGTGTGCCAGGGCCGTGTGGTGCTGGTCCTCACCTGGCCGGGTACAAATCCCCGCCTGCGCTCCATCCTGCTCAACTCCCACACTGATGTTGTGCCAGTTTTCGAGGTACGGGGTTGGAGGGGCTGGTTACAGGGGTAGCCTCATGACATGGGGTCATGGCTGATGTTCCCACAGGAGCACTGGACCTACCCACCCTTCGAGGCTGTTAAGGATTCCCAGGGCAACATCTATGCCCGGGGTGCCCAGGACATGAAGTGTGTCTCCATCCAGTGAGTGGGGGCTTGGTGCACAGGGTGGCTCAGGGGTGTCAGCCCCGCTCCCTGTACCTAGTACTTTCAAAGCATCTCCTCACATCACCTGTAGGTACCTTGAGGCCATCCGAAGGCTGAAGGCAGAAGGGAAGAGCTTTGCCCGCACCATCCACTTGAGTTTTGTGCCTGGTGAGTGCCCTCTTGAGGAACAGGGTGGGCTGGGTGACGCAGTGTGGCTCCCCGCATCCTGGGCATGGGACACCCCTGCTAACCTGTCCAGGCTTTGTCCACTAGCTCTAGAATGAAGGGCTATGTGGTTCTGGGGATGGCCAATGGCACCAGGCTGGCATGGAAGCATGGTGGTGGGGTGGAGGATCCCTTCACCCATGCCAATTTTCTCCCCACAGACGAGGAGGTGGGCGGACACAAGGGCATGGTGATGTTCTTGCAGCGCCCGGAGTTCAAAGCACTCAACGTGGGCTTTGCCCTAGATGAGGGTGAGTGATGGCATAGCTGTGCTGGGACCCAGCAGGACCTCATGGCATCGTGCACATTTGGCATTGCCCCCAAGGCAATGGGGCATCCATCCCAGCCCCTGACCCCGCAGCTGGGACACATCTGTCCCCCTTGCTGTGCCCACTACAGGCTTGGCCAGCCCATCCGACACCTACAGTGTCTTCTATGGCGAGAAGAGCCCTTGGTGTGAGTAATGGCATGCCCGCCATCCTGTCCCTTGTTCTGCTGGGTTCTGGGCTGCTGGGTGCACCCAGCTCAGCTCCTCTTCTTCAGGGATCAAGGTGAAGTGCACAGGCAGCCCTGGGCATGGGTCCCGCTTCATCACAAACACCGCGGCTGAGAAGTTGGTAAGGGAATGGAGACAGTGGTGTGCCCTGGGGGGGTCTGGGGGTGGGAGCCCTCTGTAGTGGGCACCGGGCTTGTGGCTGGGAGCTGCTGATGGGGGGCATGGGGAGGGGCTGCGTGGTACCCACTGTCCAGGTAGTTCTGGGATGTTTACATCATATGTTTGCCTCCCCAGCACAAAGTGATCACCTCCTTCCTGGCCTTCAGGGAGAGTGAGAAGCAGAGGTAGGACATGGCTGGAGGAGCTGCGTTGGCCTCACTGTGGTCCTTGGAGGGGCCTTGCCCTCTCTTGGCATCCAGGGGGTCTCAAGCGAGGCTCTGATCCAGCACCACATTCCCATGCTTCTGTTTACCTGCATGGGAGTGGGGGCAGGGAGCACTTCCCCTCTTCCTCTCGGGACAGAGGGTGACTGTCCCCTGCATCCCCCAAGGCTTAAGTCCAACACAAGCCTGACCTTGGGGGATGTCACCTCGCTCAACCTGACCATGCTGGAGGGGGGAGTTTCCTTCAATGTGGTGCCCTCTGAGATGGCCGTCGGCTTTGACGTCCGCATCCCACCCACTGTGGACCTGAAGGTGGGCATGGTGCTGGCCCCGTTTTGGGGGAACGGGCTGGGGGTGCCTCTGCTCACACCCTCTTGTGCTGCCTGCTGCAGGCTTTCGAGGAGCAGGTGGCTGCGTGGTGCCAGGCGGCTGGGGACGGTGTCACATATGAGTTTCACCAGGTGAGGGGCTGTGGGGGGAGCTCAGCGTGCTGTGCTGCCCCTCCCCTGCAATGTGCCCACCCACTGCCTCCATCGCTCAGAAATGCATGGACCAGCAAATCACCTCCACCGAGGAGTCTGACCCGTGGTGGAAAGCCTTCAGCGGGGTCTGCAGGGACATGTGAGTAGTGCTATGGGATGGTGGCACCTAGGGTGCACCCCCTGGTCCTCGTGTACCCTGGGGACATGGCAGTGTAGGAGAGGTGCCCTGTGCCGTGCCACCACCTCACCGTACTCCGTTGTGTCAGAAAGAATAAGATTGAGCATCCTGTAGGGTACATGGCTTAGGGCCCTTGGCTGGGTCAGGGAGGCAGGCACCCTGGCTGTCCCTGTGCCACGCTGATGCCATGGCTTGCCCTACAGGAAGCTGCCTCTCAAGCTGGAGATCTTCCCAGCTGCCACTGACAGCCGCTACATCCGGGCGGTGAGTCCTGTCCCAGCCCACCTGTGGCCCCACTGCCCACCCCGGGCTCACTGTGCTCCCCCATCCCCAGGCAGGGTACCCAGCCCTCGGCTTCTCACCCATGAACCGCACCCCAGTGCTGCTCCACGACCACAATGAGTTCCTCAACGAGGATGTCTTCCTGCGGGGCATTGACATCTACGCCCGCCTCCTACCTGCCCTGGCCTCTGTGCCCCCACTGCCTGCTGAGAGCTGAGCCTTTGGGAGGGGACAGGGGGCATCGTGCCACGTCTCTACGTGCCCCTCTGCTGAGGCTGTGCTGTGAGCTGGCCTGATGGTGACACGTGTGTCCTGGCTGTGCCACCCTGCGGACCGTGTGCCAGTGGAGCCCATGTGCCCTGTGCCCCTGCAGCCATCCCTGATCACTTCCAGGGGTGCTGGGGCCATGCCTCCCAGCTGGTGCCCCCGTATCCTGACCGTGCACATTCACTCAATAAACCTTCCTGGTAAGCAAGGCCAGGAGCAGGTCTGTCTGCCTGCTCATGGGCAGTGCCATGGGTAGCCACGGCCCCGAGGGTGTTCTGATTTCCTTGGGGACAGAGGAGGGGCTGCACCAGCAGAGTGCTGCCCGGTTGGGATCCTTCTCAGACTGTGGCACTGGGGGTCGATCCCTCTTCCTCCTATGGTATCTTCCCAGGATGGCTCTGCCAGACCCCAAAGCCGGCAGCGATGTGCAAGCCCCGGCAGGAGCCCGCACTCATCTGCCAGAGGTGCCCGAGGGCTTGGCCCCGCTCCCTGCTCCCACCCCCAGCCGTGCTGTGCCCAGCACCCGAGGGTGCCGCATCCGGTCCAGACGCTGTGCCCACCCCTGGGGAGCTGTGCACGGGGCTGGCCGAGCTCCACCGCGGCACTTCGGTGCAGGTTGGGACCGGCAGAGCTCTGCATGCGGCACGGGGTTCCCACGCACCGCCGGTGCCGGTGCCGGAGCTCGGGAGGCACGGCGCACCGCCCGCTCCGCGTTGCCGGCTGATTTGTCCCCATGGCCACCGCGACACAGCAACCCGTGGTCCTGCTCCCCGTGTCCCCACCCACCGCGTCCCCGGCTTGTGTAGGGCCTGTGGGCTCTGGGAGAGCACCGTGCTCCAGCGGAACACCACCCCCGGGGGACCCTCCCTACACCCCATCCTCTTGACTGGGGGAAAACCCTGGAGTTGCTCCCTATAACTCTTTGTGGACCGGAGACTGGGGACCCCCTGCGCGCCCCTCCCGTCGGACGCAGCCCCTGGGGCTCCTGGGGCGGGGGCCGGGCTGGGGCCGGGGCGGGCCGGGGCGGAGCGCGGCCCCATAAAAGCATCGGCCCCGGGGAGCGGCGGCCCCGGGAGGAGGATGCG